GGATTTCCCCCTTAGCTCGTAGACGTAGCTAATATAGCCAATTCCTTGCGCGCTAAGCGTAATCTAGACTAGGTTGGCTAAAACTAGCCTATTATATTATTATTATTATTCCATTAGAGTCTATCTGCAGTCAGTGACTATGTAAGACTTTGGCCAGAGGCCGTTCTAACTAGATTTATTTACAAATACGAGTTTGTGCTTGAAGTGTGTCTGTGGTGCTTCGGCCTTTGTCTAGGTAAGCGATAGCTATCGCTTACTAGACGCCTAGTGCTAAAGAGCATTTTGATAACAGAAAGAGATGTTAGAAAGCAAAGCAATCCTCTAGCGGGCTCTTTTAGGGATAAAAAGAAAAAGTTTCAACTTAGGTAGTTTTAATGAGTAACTCTCTCGTTCATTTTTAATAAGTCTTCATCTCAAGTTTTAGTAAGTAACTCTCTCGTTTCAACTTAGTGCCCAGCGAGTAGCAGCTGTCTTGGCGTTTCGACTTGGTGCTTCTACAGAGGTAACCAGTCTCTGTATCAGCGTTTGGATTTGGTGCCACAGTAGGCGAAGACTGTCTTGGCGTTTCGACTTATTTTGCTATTACAGACCAGAAAACTGTTATAGCGTTTTTGAATTTTGTGCCACAGTAGGCAAAGACTGTCCTGGCGGTTGGATATGGTGCCACAGCGGGATCAGGCTGTCTCGGCGTTTAGATATAGGATTTTTGATTTTTGTTGTTTTATTTGGTGTTTTTAATCGTTTTTGGTTTCGTTTGGTAGTCTCCCTATTAGTCATTGGGGCGGTCTGTGCGTTCTCGAAGATTTTCGCATTTCGAACACGTCGCAAGAATACCGACAATACCCCCTCTAGCATCTCAACGAGAGGGCTGCACACATTAGAGGTGGCGTAAATCGGTTTCTCGCGACGTGTTACCCCTATATCTGATAGAAAATTGACGAGTTTTGATGAAAGATTTCTGCTTAAAAGTTGTCCTAGGTGGGTAGTGTGAGAGAATCTTGATCCTTTTTTAATCTAGTCCAATTTACTAGTTTAGTCTTTGAGCTGTCGAATTTGATTGCTAGCTCCTCTGCTAGGTTAAAGAGTTTTTAGGTCTCTTTTTCTAGTAATTTAACGTTTTTCTTAATAGATGTTGTAGATACTAATATCTATAGGTCGTCTATATAAGAAGAGGAGTAGATATTTCTATTTGTTGTAATTAACTAAAATAGTAGTTTTATGTAGATTAAAAATAGGATTAGAGAAGCAGGTCTGCCTTAGGGCGTACTAGTGTTTACCTCCTATAGATCTTCTACTTGGCCATTAAAGGATAGCTTTAGTAGTCTGTTTTCTAGGAAGGATTTAGTCTAGGATAGCAGGCAGCAGGGAAGTCCTTGATCCTTCATATTTTCTAGTAGCTTATTTTTAGCCACGTGATTAAAGGCTCCTTTTATGTCTAGAAATATAGTCATAGTAGTCCTATGCTTCTTTTTCTGCTGCTGTATATTATTATAGAATAGAAGAGCGGCGTTAATTGCTAATTTCTTTAATCTCCCGCCTAACTGGGTAGGGTGGAGTAAGTCTGTTGTTTCTGCTAGTGCTCCTAATCGTCTTGCAAATAGTCTTTCTAGTACTTTCCCTAGGTAGCTTAAGAGTGAGATAACTCTATATGCCTTTGGGATAGAGTAGTCTAGCTTTCCAGGTTTCTTTAGAATAACTCCTTTAGCTTTTCTCTAGCACTTTAGTTGGTAGCCAAAATTAAATAGAGCTCAATATATCTTAAAGAGTAATTCTAGCTGTGCCTAATAGACTTTTTGGACTATATCCTGGCTAATTAAATCTAGTCCTGGCGAGGTAGCTTTTACGCTTACGCAGGCGAATTCGAGCTCTTCTTTTGTTAAAGCTGGCCACTCCCATCTACTATCTCCTTTGTAGGTATTTAGTAGTGGGGCTAGAGTAGATAGTGGTGGGGGGAAGAGATCTTCTCTAAAGGCTTGGCATTTTTCTCTAAAGGTCTCCTTGCCTTTAATAGCAGGTATCCTTATAGATAGGTTGTCTTTTGTGTAGGCCATAGCTTTAAATATCTCTTTTCGCGTCTCCTTTTGTAGGAAGGTTTCCTAGTGGTTGAGCTTAGCTTTTTTAATAGCTTTTAGATATCTATATTTTGCAATAAGATACTCTTTTTTCTACTAGTTAATTTGGCTGTTGTCCTCTCTACTAGCTTCTCTTTTTAGGGCTCGAAAAGCTCTGTTTTGATCCGACTTTAGGTTATCTAGCTCACTAGTCCACCAAGGTTTTGGCTTTGGTTCTGGCTAACTAGTGGGGTGGATTCTTTTAGAGC